TTCAGAGATAGTTAACACTGCCATCAACATTGATAGCCATTGACAGCCAACACTACAACTCATGGTAAATTGCATGAATGGAATGGAATGGAATGGAATGGAATGGAATGGAATGGAATGGAATAGAATAGAATAGAATAGAATAGAATAGAATAGAATAGAATAGAATAGAATAGAATAGAATAGAATAGAATCACAGTTGGAAGGGGCCTTGGAGGTCTTCTAGTCCAACCCCAATCTCGGGAAGGAAACCTTACACCATTGATAAAGTGCCTTATGTAATTGGCACAATTTTGGATCAAAGCTGTATGAGAAATCATCATCAACAAAATTTGGAAACCAAACTGTTGCTTTATTATTTTTCTTCAGCAAGTTAAAAGAAATGTATGACTGGGAAAATGTATTATATGTTTCTTTCTTTAGAGACGGCATATAATACAAGCAGGGCTAGCATAAACATCTAAATTCTATGCCAAGGTCTTAGCAGATACACTAAGTTGACTCAATTTATTATTTTCTGTTTATAAAAAAAAAATATTATATGTATATGAAATCTTATTCTGTTCACCGCCCTGAGTCCTTCAGGAGAAGGGCGGAGAAATTCAATTAATAATAATAATAATAATAATAATAATAATAATAATAATAATAATAATATAAAGTGAACAGGCTTGAATTATAAATTTATCTTGTGTGAGATTTGCCCGTATTTACCAAGTGATTTCCACTCCGATAAATTGATGAATATGAATTGAAAAAAATTAACACATTAAAGTCAAAGGTAAATCAGTCTGAATGTGAAGTGAATTTCTGCCGGTTGTAAATAAATAGCAAAAAACAGAAATAGGGGATGAATATTTGAACCTTAAGAGAATGTGTGCTAAAGATAAGGGAATGGAAGAAATGTTAAGCTCTACAAATGCTGTTAAGAAGGTCACAGGTAGTATGTTATCTGTTGCAAGGAATTAATGTTTGTCAGAATAAATGAAAATGTCTGTGTAAGAGACAAATGTGAAAGTTGGGTAAATTTGGAAAAAATATAAGGAGAATGCAGTGGCAGTGGATTACTTAAGTACATGTGTAGAAATAGATGAATAATAATGCGGAATAGATTGCTACGAAAGTAATCCATCAAGACAACTTTGTTATATAAAGAGAATAAATATTATATCTTAACAGAAATATGAAAAGGAAAAGTGGGTAGGTCAAAAGTAATGAGGATTGTAGAGGCATAGTTAGATGGAGAACAACAATAACAAAAACAAATAGAGGTCATTAAAGAAGCAGTATTTACACAAGGAAGAAACAGATTTTTTTTTCTTACAATCCATTGGGTCTGATTCTCGGAGATTGAAGTCCCTACAGTTTTCTTAGCAAGATTTGCCATTTCCTCCTTCCCAGGCCTGGGAGAAAGTGACTGGCCCCATGGTCAGCCAGCTCATTTTGTGCCTAAGGTGGGAATAGAATTCAGTCTTCTAATTTCTAGCCTGAAACTGTAACCACGACACGAAACAGGTTCTCAGGCAGGGGTGAAAGCCAGCAGGTTCTGACAGTGGAGAACCGGTAGCGTAAATTTTGAGCAGTTCGGAGAACTGGCAAATACCACCTCTGGCTGGCCCCAGAGTGGGGTGTGAATGGAAATTTTGCAATATCCTTCCCCCAGGAGTGGGAAGGGAATGGAGATTTTGCAGTATCCTTCCCCTGGAGTGGGGTGGGAATGGAGATTTTGCAGTATCCTTCCCCTGCCTTGCCCACCAAGCCACGCTCACCAAGCCACACCACGCCCACCAAGCTACGCCCACCGAACCAGTAGTAAAAAAATGTAGATTTCAACACTGCTCTCGGGGATAATATAGAGGGATATAAAAATATGAAGACAAATAGCAAATTGTTTAGTGCAAGTTAGATTTAACTATTTTGAACCAGTCAATTCAAAATCTAAGGGACTGGTTTGGGCAAAACTCAGCAGCACTTTTTTCGTGCAGCTGTTGATGAAAATAGGATCGCCAACATTATCGCCAGCATCTGATGACGGATATGCACAAGAAGAAGATTTTTCCTTATCTCATGTCTTCATTCCTTGGGCTTACTATTTCTTACTCTGTTTTGCAAATTTTAGAATGTCGCCTAGCCCAAAGTGGAAAAGAATTGATGGGGATGGGGATGTCTGTGTAGATTTTATCTCCAGTAAAAAGTTTCTGAGCTGCATATAGCACGTTTGTGAGATTCTAGCATCAGGCTCGATGGATCAGCCTAGGAGGCAAAAAGAAAAGAAAAGAAAAGAAAAGAAGATTATATAGCCATTAGTAGTTTATCATTTGTCAACATCATGTAACCTTTCCATCATTTGCCATTTGTCAGAAGGGCAGATGACTTAAAAGCTGGATCCAGACAACACAGTAAATTACAGCTTGCTGCATCATGGTTTATTGAATTTATGTAAGCTTGCATGGCTCAACCAATCAGCAGTCAAAACACTTCGCTATAAAGAAAGGAACCGAGCCAATCCCTGTTCAGTTGCCTGTAGTTTGCATAGCATATAGGAACAGATCGCCTTATTGCTGAAATTGCCAGCTTCAGTTGCCAATGAAAGGATAGGAAAACTGTTTGTCTACATTACAATCATTAAACCCTGAACCCCAACACTGCTCAAACTATATTTGTATGTTTATGCAAAGGTTGTGAGTCTTCTGGGTGATACTGCTGAGTGTCAGAATAGAATAGAATAGAATAGAATAGAATAGAATAGAATAGAATAGAATAGAATAGAATAGAATAGAATAGAATAGAATAGAGTTGGAAGGGACCTTGGAGGTCTTCTAGTCCAACCCCCTGCCAAGGCAGAAACCCTACACCACTTCAGACAAATGGTTATCCAACATCTTCTTAAAAACTTCCAATGTTGGAGCATTCACAACTTCTGGAGGCAAGTTGTTCCACTTATTAATTGTTTATAACTGTCAGGAAATTTCTCCTTAGTTCTAGGTTGCTTCTCTCCTTGATTAGTTTCCATCCATTGCTTCTTGTTCTATCCTCAGGAGCTTTGAAGAATAGTTTGACTCCAGGGGTGGGTTCTAATTTTTTTTACTACCGGTTCTGTGGGTGTGGCTTATTTTGTGGGTGTGCCTTGGAGGTCATGTGACTAGGTGGGCATGGCTAGCTGGTCAGAGTCATTTCTGGAAGGTCCTCGCACTTACGACCAGTCCTCACACTTACGACCCGACTCATTTGTTTGCTTTTAACAATGATCAGCTGTAGGACGGCCCTTTGAAGCCCCACGGCAAGAGTTTAAACAGTTTTTTTCCCTCTAGTCATAAGCTGGGACTCAGGAGGCAGCAATAGATTGGGGGTGGGACCAAATAAAAGGTAAGAATAACGTGGGTGGGGAGGGAGGGCGGAGGGAAGAACCGGTTCGGTGACGTCATATCGTCACCGCTACCGGCTCGGCCGAACCGGACCAAACCGGGAGGAACCTATCACTGTTTGACTCCCTCTTCTTGGTGGCAGCCCCTGAGATATTGGAACACTGCTATCATGTCTCCCCTAGCCCTTCTCTTCATTAAACTAGACATACCCAGTTCCTGCAACTGTTCTTCATATGTTTTAGCCTCCAGTCCCCCAATAATCTTTGTTGCTCTTTTCTGCACTCTTTCTAGAGTCTCAATGTCTTTTCTACATTGTGGTGACCAAAACTGGATGCAGAATTCCAAGTGTGGCCTTACCAAAGCATTATAACTGTGTTGGCTTTTTTGGCAGCTGCTGCACACTGCTGGCTCATATCTAAATGGTTGTCCACTAGGACTCCAAGATCCCTCTTGGATGCTTTATAGTTTCCATGTCATTAATCATTTTTCTCATTACACTTATTATTACATATTACATATGTTGAATTAACAAATTTAACGTTGTTAAATTTATAGTGTAAAAAGCTGGTTAAAATTTTGTACTTGAATATTCTTTTTTTCATTTTGATGAACTCAACTGAAGGTAGGAAGAGGAAAAGAATCCCTGTGTTTTCCATTTTTATTGGACACTTGCATACCTAGGCAAATTCATAGAGAGGTGCAAATCAGGAAATGTGGTAATTAGAGGATAATTATAATAACATAAAGGGAATGTACAAGAGACAGTCGGTTCTCATATAACAACCTAGGACTTTAGAACTGTAATATGTGTGAATTTTTCTCCTATCTTCAGAAAGCAGCGAGAAACATAACTTGTTAATTGCAGTATGCCATAGCTTTTAAATTACTCCCTTAGAAGTTACCATGGTCCCTATTTGGATAACAAAGTATGTCTATGTGTTTGTGCATATCTTTGTGTAATCTACATACAAGCACGTACATCCCTTTTTAAAACATTCAGTTATTCTTTAACTTGACAACATCAACACGAATACATTTAGAAGATGTGAATTTGGCAGCAGGTATTATGACACATATTAGAGTTATTCACGAATTTGGTATTATAAGACTAGGACAAGATTTCCTTTTTGACTGTTTCCGTCCATCTGAGATAAATAAATAAATTCTTTGTTCAATAAAAAATATACCTGAAATGTTGTTTCTTTTAAAGTTGAATCCTCTAAGATTCTTTATCTTTGCAAGGAAAAATCAGACATTGGCGTTCGTTGCTATTTTATATATTTATATTTATATTTCGTAGTTTTAAATTGCACCTCTCTTTCAAAGAGGGGCTCTCGATCAATTAAAAAAAGTCTCAAAATTAACATTTAAAATTAAAAAATAAATTAGGATGACATTTTAAAATATAGAATGATAATTAAACATCAAAAGGGAAAAAATATGATGGCCATTTAACGGAGTATTACAGGTATGGGCAGGGATTTTAATTTTAATGCAGATGTGGTAAAAACACACCTAGTTGTGTAGCTGCAGAGATTAACAGGAACATTTTGCGTGCCCTAAGCAACCTTGCTGAAAAGTGATGTTTTTTCTCTAATATTTTTCTCCTTCCCTTTTCTGTTTCCTTTGCTCCAGGCTACATACCTAAACAAAATGGTGAGCCAAACTCTCAACACAAAGGACAAAAGATCAGTACATACAGTCACAGAGGACCATTTTAGATATTTGCCAGGCAACCAAGCCACATCCTGTGAAAACAAAAACTGCCAGTTGTCAAGTGTCTGTCTTGGCAACCTCCTGAAGGAGAAAGAAATAGCGGAAGTTATCAAGCATACAAGAGACTCTTATGAAGCCCTCCCTTCTGAGGTGAACCACAACGGCTTAACAGGAGTTGTGCAAAACGTGTCAAAATCAACAGCCAAGGCTGATACCGGCGCCATTTTTCCAGGCCCTTCAAAAGATCAACCTTTGCTGAGTCGACAACCCTCTACCTTCATAGGAAGGCTTGGACAACCCCCAAGAGGACCAATCTCTTTGCACATGTACAGCAGGAAAAACGTGTTCCTTCACCACAATCTTCACACCTCTGAACTTCAGACTTTAGGCCAGCAAGATGGGTAAAGAGAGTCAGTATTTATTCAGGTGGACAATTTAACTGACTTCGATTCTTCTCAGCTGCTGCTACCCATTTGTTTTACCTTTTATAACGGTTATTTCTGAAATTGGAGCTGTTCCTGTAAAATAAAGACAGGGATTGGATGGGGAGGGGGGGAGGATAGGGGAGCTAGCATGTTAACTTTAATGAGTATTTGAATTTTTTTTTTCCAGAATTCTCCAGACTGTAATTTCTAAATTTTTGTGAAGTTGATGATATAACTGCCTTGGCTTCCTATTGAATGGATGGGACACCTTGACTGAACATCCAGAAGAGGTCCAACATTCTATTTTTTTCCTTTTGCTGTCCATCACTTGATTGCCTACAATTTCTGAAGACTATATCAAATAGCACTTCTGTTCTTTTAATAATGTTAATGTAGATGTAAATGTGAGGAATGAATAGAATTAGTAACAATTTCTAAATTGGGGTAAGAAGATGATTGTAGGCTTTGGGATTTTCCTTCCATCTTTCATTTTGCTTTGTATACACACACACACACACACACACACACACACACACACACACACACACAGACAATCACCGTGTTTTCCCCAAAATAAGACCCTGTCTTATATTTTTTTGAACCCCGAAATAAGGGGAGATCTTATTATTTTGGGAAGCGTGGTGGAAATTTTGAGTAGTTCGGAGAACCGGTAAATACCACCTCTGACTGGCCTCACCCCCATCTATTCTCTGCCTCCCGAGTCCCAGCTGATCAGGAGGAAATGGGGATTTTGCAGTAACCTTCCCCTGCCACTCCCAACAAGCCACGCCCACAAAGCCATGCCCACAGAACCAGTAGTAAAAAAATTGTGATTTGCATAGATTCAGCAAACTAGGTCAGTTCAATTTGATTAGAAAAAAAGCAGTTTTTGCACATGAGCCGAAGTGTTGAGATCATCCAAATTGATTTAGGGGCACACAATTAATTAAAAAAAAAATCTGAAAACACATTTTAATTTGATTTAGAATTACCTTCAAAAGCAAATCTCCAAATATTTTCAGAGATATTTTTTTTCTTATTTTGGCTCCAAAGGTAGTATTAAATAATATGAAAATCACTTAAGGTTTTATTTGGCTTTCAAGGCTTAGTATCAATAACAATTTTGCTTCTACTCTTTGTAATTTGGGTTGTGGCAGATTTTATACTGCATTGTTGGTGGCATAATACATGGATTAAAAATGTCCTAATGTTGATGGATTCCAACATCAATCAGTTTAGTTATCACGGATAGGGTTAATAACAGCTGACTTCCCACATACTCATGTGGAGACATGCAAATCACTACAACTTTATTTGCAATTCGCAACCAAATTGTTGCAAGTGGGAATATTTTGTCAGAACTTGCGTATCACCACATTAAATAGCCACAATAGTAAGGGCATCAAATCAGCTAATTAATTATAAATGAATGTGTTGTTGATTTTGTTACCTTTAATATCAAAATGAGCCAAGGAGGATAATGTGCAATAAAGAATTGTAAGCGTTGTTGAACAATATTTTGTGCACCCTAATTGCACAAATTTTTTTCTGAATCTGCCCCTTACATTTACAGAAGCCAATCTGTAATTCCCACCTTCACTTTGAGGTGGGAAAATTGTTAGATGTAAAAGTGAAACTCACAGACATAAATACTTCCATAGACATAGGAATCCAGCGACAAGGGCTTCAATTGTTTGTATCCTCTCACAATTGATGTTCGTATCTTCTCACAATTGATGTTTGTATCTTTCACTTATTTAGCTTTGTAAAATCCACTTACCATTTGGGAAGGACAATTGAATGCTAATTAGTTTTCCTTCTTTATCTGGTTGGTGTATTTATATTTGCCCAAACTAACTGTTGCATAAAGGGGAGTAGTGACATTTAATAACATAATATAAGGTCAAATTAGAAGACCCTCCTGGAGTCAATTAATTTATAACATACCATAAGTTCAAAGAAAAATTCAGAAGACCACTTAATTCAGTATATACCCTTCCCTCCCCCACATCAACTTGATAAGAGACATGGCAAGAAGTTTTAAAACTTCTAAACAAATTAGAAACCCCACTTTATAAAATGCATTTTTCCTCACGTTTTGCCTATAATTTAGACATGGTACAATTCTATGGATGTTTACTATAAATGAAGCCCTAGTATATTAAATGGCATATGCACCTTTATGTCTGGCTAAGATTGTAGCTTGAGATGGCAGTAGCAACTGAACACAAGATCAAGCTATATGTTATATAGTAACACCAGTGTTCGATTTTCTGAGAAAAGATATACAAAATGGATATTCGTATTGTTCTTGGAACAGCAATGTGTCGACAGATTTATCCCTTCCTTCCTCAACAACAGCCTCATCCCCATTCCTCCCAAAATCACTTCCCCATGCAACCACAAAACATAGGTTGTATTTTAGGGCTTAATACAATAAGCTGCTTGACATAGCATACTAGGACAATGGCCCACTTTTTATTCATGCTCTGTAAACTCATGTGGGTGATTGGTTATAGAGTCAAGCATGGAACAGATTTGCTGCTTCCATGAAACTATCTGTAACAGGAGTGTCCAACTTAAGGCCCACGGGCCAGATCCAGCCCACGGGGTGCTTAGATCTGGCCCGTGGGGCTACCCTGGAAACAGTGAAGGACCAATCTGGGTTTCAAATCCCGGCGCTACTGGTTCGCTATCGGTAGCGTGCGGGCGTGTTTGTTTGCTTTGCAAGCACGCGGCACTTCTGCGCATACACAGAGCGTTTTTGATGATGTCTGGGTGAGTGGGCAGAGCCTACCACCACCACCGCTACTGGTTCGCTTGAACTGGGGCAAACCGGGAGAACCTACCTCTGCCAAGGTGCCTCTGCCAGCTAAAACAGAGTTTGGGAGGGCCGTGGCAGAGGGTTGCAGGAGGCCATTGCAGCCGCAAATGGAGCTTGGGAGCCTGTTTTCGCTGGCCGTAAATGCCAAAGGCGCATGGAACGCTGTTACATTCCCACCAAAGGTCGTCCCTATTTTTTTACTTGCATTTTTTATGTGCTTTTGAACTGCTAGGTTGGCAGAAGCTGGGACAAGTAACGGGAGCTCACCCCGTTATGCGGCACTAGGGATTCGAACTGCTGAACTGCCAACCTTTTGATCAACAAGCTCAGCGTCTTAGCCACTGAGCCACCGCATCCCTCAATTTCACTTAATTAGTTGTTACTAATTTAACAACTGCAGAAATTCACTTAACAAATAAGGCAGGAAAATGGGACAAAACTCACTTAACAAATTTCTCACTTAGCAACCAAAATTGTGGGTGTAAGTTGAGGACTACCTGGGTTTAGTAAGGTCATACTTGCTCTATTAAAAACTAAAAAAAAAAAAAAAAAAAAAACCTAGCCCAGCAATTGTTCAATATCAGGATTTCACTATTCTGATTTAGAAGTATATCTCCTGTTAATGAAATATATATATGATACATGATGACAATGGGTTTCAGTGTGGCTTATGGAAAGGGGAATTCTTTGAAGTCCTGCAGCCACCCTGATAATGTACAATTAGCATTTCAATGTCAAAAATAATTCTTTCCTGGATATAAATAAAGGTGCCTCTTCCATTTTATGCACATCTAAAGTCTCAGTCTTGAGGTGGGTGGGATATTGTCTTTTTTTTTTTTTGTTATGTCTCAAAAATTACATAACGCCGTTGAAAAGATAACTGTAATTTTCTTAATTTTTTTAAAAAAATTCATTTCGCTGTTAAAAAAAAAAGCAATATAATACTTAAAACAAGGGTTGTAAGCTAAGAATATCCACTTGCTCCTGTTTTCTATCTGTGTTTCCGGCATTCGTATAGTATTTCTTACAATACCGCAAACGGTACTGCCTCCTGAGAGGTTGGCAGCTATATACTGTAACATTGTACAATAGTAACACCTCCAAAGCAGAGGTCATTTGCAATATACTCTTGTGTATAATACAACACATAAAACAACCACATGCCGACATTTTTTTCAATGAATAGGAACCCTTTGTACTGAAAAAGATCTCTAGTTTTGTAAGGCAGTGCCATGTAAAAATGAGTTATACATCTTTTTCAAGGGAGCCGAGCTTTCTGACGAGCCAAAAATCATGTGGTTTTGGTATGTGTGTCTTTTTCTGCGTGCATTGTGTGTGTGTGCCCGCATGTGCACACACATGAGCAAACATACAAACTTCTATTGTTTATTCCAGAACTGTTGTTGTCGAGTATGACACTTAGATTAGAGGGGATGGTTTAATTGATGTCTTAAGGAAATCGGAATCTTTTCAGAGAAAAGAAAAGAAAAAGTTTTTATTGCAATCTGACACATTTTTATTTTTCTCATAGAGAGAAAAGGGCTACCATCCTTCATACATAGAGAGTTTTTATAAAGAGAAATCAGTAATGTTCTGATGCAACAGCATCAGTAAAGTTACACAATGTATGGTGCTTTTGATAATTTGCACTACAGTTAATCCTCAACAAACAACCATTCATTTAGTGACTGAAGGTACAATGAAATCCAGCCGGATCTATCCGGGTCACACGAACCGGTAGTGCTGGTGGTGGGAGGCTCCACCCACCCGCCGGGACATCATTATGTCCCATTTTTTACCCTCTGACCATGCACGCTCCCGTTCCCAAGCCAGTAGGTAAGTGGATTTCACCACTGATACTATGGCACTGAAAACAATGATTTATGACCATTTTTGACACAATCTTTGCAGCATCCTATGATCAGGTGATCAAAATTCAGACCCTTGACAAATGGCAACTATTTATGATGGCTGCAATGTACTGGGGTCATGTGATCACCATTAATGGGGTAGCCAGATTCACTTTACAACCAGGTAAACTGAAGTGATTCAATTAACAACTGTGGCAAGAAAGGCGTAAAATGGGACAAAACTCATTTAACAACTGTCTTGCTTAGCAATGGAAATTTTTGGGCTCAATTGTGGTTGTACATTGAGGACTGCCTGTATGTTATAGCTTCTAGGACCTCATGTGCTTCCACTGCTGCAAAACTAATATCCACAGTTGAAAAAATGGTTCTGACCCCTGCCAATATAAAGATCTTAAATCTCACTGATAAGC